CTCCCCATACAGCAGCTGATAGTCGCCGGCAAGTGCGCGTGTGGGTTTGAGTTTGCTGATCCCTCTGACCCGCATCATGCCCTTCGCTGCAAGTACCAGTACGCACCTTCTCGTGTTCACGACGCGGTTAAGTTTGTGGTGGCGAAGATAGCTAAAGGGGCGGGTGGGGTCGTGACCATGGAAGACGACACGTTGCTGCCAGGGAAGAGGGTGGATGTGGCGGTGCGGAGACTGAGGGAGGGGGAGGAGCATGCGCTGGAGGTTAGTGTGGTGGACCCTATCTCGTTGTCCGCGCAGCACCATGGACAGATTGGTCGCAAGGTGGGTTTTGCCGCTAGAGAGAGGGAAAAGCGGAAGGCGGCGGACTACAAATTGCTTCTGCAGCGACATAGGGGAGTGCAGTTTACACCTCTCATTGCTGAGACATGGGGTTGCCTGGGGGGGAGTTTTGGGCGGTGGCTTAAGAAACAGGGCGACGCGCAGATTGAGGTAGCGAAGACGAAAGGGGCGGCGAGAGCTACGGGGAAAGGTTTCTCGGCTTACTTGCTTGGATCACTTAAAGCGGCCATAGGTGTGGCTTTGCAGCGGGCTCAGGCGCGTGTGATCTTGTTGCGCGCGGCGTCGATGATGAGAGGCCCAGAGGCTGTTTCGGTGGAGCGGGAGGATTTTGAGGAGGAGATGGGATGGGATGCTCCGTGGGCGGATGCGCCCTATTTGGTGGACATGCGGGTTTAGAGGGTGGGTTTAGGTGAGGGGGGTGGGGGGTTTGGTTAGATGGGGCGTATTGTTGGGGTGTCTCGTTGGGGTGTCTCGTTGGGGTGTCTCGTTGGGGTGTCTCGTTGGGGGTATCTCGTTGGGGTGTCTTTTGGGGTTCCTTATGTGCTGTTCTACTGGGGTGTTCTTGAGGCTGCGTTTTCCGTTTTTCTTTCATTTAAGACATACAGCTGAAAAAATGAGAGTGGAAAGCAATCAGCGGCGAGTCTACCCAACCAAGATCGACTCATGAAGCTCGATTGACCGAGAGAAAGAGGTGTGAGCTGTAACGGACACCCACGTAAGTTACGCAGGCCGCGAGTATGTCAGGTCAGAGGAACCGCAAGAGTGTGATGTGTGGTTGTTGGTGTATGCAGCTCGCTGCTGCACGCGCCGCCCTCGATTTACCCGTGCCAGGGCTTCGCACGAAGATGCCAGGCGAGCGAGGCAACTAATGCGGCGAACTTCGCAAAAAATCAGTAATGTTTGTTGAAGAAACAACTTTTCCTTCTCTCCCTAGTGTCCTACGTAGAACGCACGCGGGTCGTGAACAGCCATGCTGCTCAGTATCATTGTACGGTTGACTGTGGTTATTCGCGTGATGGCAATTTCATCCAAGAGCGGTTCCGTACTTCGAGGTAATAAGGCCACGCAGCCGGTAACGCCACTTCGCTAACGACCCCGCAGCCGCAGCGCGTGCCGTTACCTCGTACAGTATTACAACATGCACGAGCTAGCGAGCCAGAGCGAAGCGAATGAGACGAGCGAAGCAAGCGATACGGCTCGCATCATACGCCCAGCAGGAAAGCGACACGCCTTCGGTGTTTTTTGGACAAACATGTTGGCGCGAAAGCGATGGTGACAGGTGTCGCCAGAACCCCTCCCTCACCTTTTCCACAGTATTGCCGCTCGGTACTAGTATTAGCGCCGACAACGGCGGCGGCAGCACTGTTGAATGGCCGTTGCTCGCTCGTGAGATAAGCACGTGTGCAGTGTCTTTGCTGGCAAGCAATACGTGCTAAGACTATCGTGCCTCCGAAGTTCCTCCTTTTTAGGCGAGTCACCTTGTGGCCGCGTCAGCATATCGCGGAGCCTCGTTTCCAAGTCCGACTCTAAAGGCCCCTTACACTCCTTCGCAACGACGACGGCGACGTGGTAGCATCACGGAGTGTCAGGCTCACGTTCAAGCTCACGTTCATGCACACGCTCTACTATGGCTTTGGCTGTGGTCTTGTCATCGCCTTTTGGACTAACTCATTCGTTCTCGCCGCGTCTCCGCGCGCCGCTTCGTGGCTCGGCGGCGCCTCTTGTTGGAAACCAGATGCGCCTCGCTGTTTGCGTTCTGCTCGTCGTGCTCGTCCTTCCAGCAGGTTCGTTTCTTTTTTCCCATGCTCGCTTGCTGCTCGTGTTGATGTTGTCTGCGCTCTAAACGGACATCGAGTGGTCGCATCTCTAAGTTTTATTATTAAAGCCCGCGTCCCAAATTGCGGGCCGCGAGGGTCAAGTTTTTAAAACTTGACGAAGTTGAGTGTCCAAGCTTTTGAAAGTCACGCACTTGCAATTTGGGACTTTCGAAGACAGATTCACTCACCAGGGGGAAAACCGAGGGTTGGCTGGGTCTCGCGAAAAAAACGAACCTAGACGAAATCGGAAACTCTCGCCAAAGCCCACACCAAAAAAACTCCCTCTGGTCAACTTTTAAAAGCATGAACAATTTGGGCCGCCGGCTTTAAACACCGCATAAACTGCTTCCTGATACAATCTGCCCCTCGTCCTGTACTTCCCCGTTCTCCTCCCACCCACCCACCCCCTCATCTCCCATTAAAACACACGCTTCTTTACACTCGAGTGCACAAGCTCGAACAGTAAAATCCGTCAACTGATACGCGCATCGCACTGCGTTTACGACAGTAACATGTGATTCCATCTTCCTTCATTCCCCCTTCGTGCACAGCTGTGACTGCTCCAGTAGCCAGTCCTCCCCCTCCGCCCGGCCCTGCCGGTCCACCCCCTCCTGCGCCCTCTAGCTGCGTCATGCAGCGGCGCATATGCCCGTGGGTGTGTGACAATAACGAGAGTGATCCTCCCTGCCTGTTGAGGAAGGTCTGCCCCAAAGGCCATGTTTGCATTCCGTTTGTGAGAAGCTGTAAGGGGTACAAGTGCTTCAAGGTGTTTTCTGTCGGCCATAGAGGATGATGTGCTCGCTGAAGAGTAGATTAGATTAGCCAGTATCTGGTTCTTTCTGTATGTTTCTTGCACTTCTACATGCGCTTGTTACATGGTCCAAATCCACCCTCCCCCTCTCCTCCCCCCTTGTTCCCCCCTCCCTATTCCCCTCCAATCATACTTACCGTTACATTAATATTTGATTTACTTCTATTAGGTATATAAAACTCATATGGTACCCTGAGGCATGGCCAAAACAAATGCTATTTAGCATCCAAGTGTTCAAAAGTCTAAGGATTTACAGTGATTTTGTAGTACAAAATCGAGTAAGTCGCTCGTGTAACAAAGCCTGCGAAGTGTTTGCCACGAGAGCGGATATTCGAACCATCCTGTATTCAGCCTCCACCTTTCACCTCATCAGGGCAAACGTCGGTTAAGAACGCTTTATTCGTTATTATGTCGGTTGTCCAGGAGTGCAATACGGTGACGCGCCACTTTGGACAACACTCGCTCGCATCACGGCGAGTCAGAAACTTGAGAAGAGGCTAACATTTCTTTCTTACAAGAAATGCGAGCAAGTCAGAACCCGAGAGAGGAGATACGTAGGCTAGCTAGCACCTCGAGGCGCGAATCTCAGCAGAAGGCTTACCGCGGTACTGTAATAGTCCAGCAACAGCAGGAATGGTCGGTCAGCAGGAATGGTCGGTTTCTGAGTCCCCGTACCACCTTCAATGTGGCTGTTGCACGCGTGAAACGGCTTCTGGTTTACTCGTTATATCCCCTTCGACCGTAACTAAACCCTTTCCCTTCGGCAGTTTCTCGATTCGAAGCCTTGGTTCTCGTCATTGGCCGAGTGATAACGGTTGATTTCGCTTATGCGACGGGATGGTGCTATCTGTTACAGTCAGTTACTGCACAGGCTTTGTCTACAGTACAAAATTTGTTACTATGGCGGTAATGGTTCTGCCGATCTCCCGCCGCTGCTGATCCCGCAAGCATGGAGCTAGGGTAGTCATGCTGCCGATCCCCCCCCGTCGCTTCTTGCGTCGTTATGCGGAACAGTGCTTGCTGCCTTTAACTAGCAGCAGCGAATTTGCTCAGCCAAAAGGCTTATCCGAATAAGCCGCTGCTGCGACTTTTTGCGGCTGAACGGCAGCTCAGCCAATAGGCGATGGCCTGGCGAAGACTCGTCAGAGTAACTGTCTGGTTTTTCACGAGTATGCGAACGTCGCGAACGGATTCTGCTGGCATTGTTGCTGCTGAGCATGGCGCTATGCGACGGTACGCGCCGGGCCGTCGATCCCTTGACGAGACCCTCGCTTAATAACGTCGCGAACGGATTGTGGCATTGTTGCTGCCGGAGCGTCATGTTATGCGACGGCACGCGCCGGGCCGTCAATTGCTTGACGAGACCCACGCCTAATCAAACTATGAGGCGCCTCTAAATTTAGGGCCGTCAATCCCTTGACGAGACGGGCCTCTCCAAATCGCGTCGCGTTGCCGAATTTCCGAGTCTGCCTTCTTTCCGCACCAGGCGTTGCCACTGGCGGGTATTGTCGGGTGGTGGCGATGCGATGATAAAAAAGCGAGTCGTTGCTTGGTGATGTTTCATTGTGCGTCACTCCTCGTTGGTATCATTGACTGTGGCAATTGTCGTCCGGAGCAGCACTTTGCCTCATTTTTCGAGTCTCAAGTCTCATCGCATCTCGAGTTTCGAGCCTCAAGTGCGTCCCAACACCATAGCCAGAGAACCACCACACGCGTTGAATCAGAATCACCACGCGCTACTAGCGCCCATCGAACACGGCGAGGGCAAGAGACGTCGACCGCAACAGTGTGACTCTTCCAAAGGCAATGGCTGCAATGATGGCGAGAGGATGCAAAGGAATATCTGAAGTTCTTGTTCTTCACGGCGTCTTCCTGCTCGTTCTCGTCCTCCCAACAGGTTAGTTCTGGTGTAACATTCTCACCGTTTCTTATGAAGTATATTATATATAATCGTTGTCCTCACTAATTGTTGTCTTGCACCTCCCCCCGTTGCAACCTAAACCCTTTCCACGTGGTGTGGCAGCAGTGGTGGCTCAAACTGCCTCCCCACCTCCTCCTCCGGGTGTTTCCTCCCCACCGCCTCCTCCGGGTGTTTCCTCCACACCGCCTCCTCCGGGTGTTTCCTCCCCACCGCCTCCTCCGGGTGTTTCTTCCCCACCGCCTCCTCCGGGTGTTTCCTCCCCACCTCCTCCTCCGGGTGTTTCCTCCACACCTCCTCCTCCGGGTGTTTCCACCGCACCTCCTCCGCCAGGTGTTTCCGCCGCACCTCCTCCGCCAGGTGTTTCCGCCGCACCTCCTCCTCCGGGTGTTTCCGCAGCACCTCCTCCTCCGGGTGTAGCCTCCCCACCTCCCCCTCCTGCCCCTGCCACTTCATCGCCCCCACCTCCCCCTCCTTCCCCTCCTCCCCCTTCTCCCCCTCCCCCCTCTCCCCCTCCTCCCTCGCCTCCTCCTCCCTCTCCTCCCCCTCCCTCTCCTCCTCCTCCCTCTACCACCCCTCCTTCCTCTCCGCCCGCTTCTCTCCCTCCTCCCCCTCCCGCCCCTGCCGCAACATCGCCCCCACCTCCTGACTGCATCCCCAAACGCCGCCCTTGCCCCTGGATATGTGACAATAACGGGGTGAACCAGCCGTGCCGGTTCAATAAAGTGTGTGAGGATGACGAGGTGTGCATTCCCTACGTCAGCAGCTGCGAAGGTTACAAGTGCATGAAGCTGTTTAACAAAGGGCGCCGATGAGCGCTTGACGTATCCTTAGGATAAAGGTTTTGAAGATGAGTTGTGCCGCTCTTTAAGGCGCCTCAAAGATGAGTTGTGCAGAGCAGCAGGCAAGTGGGTTGCTGGTGCACCAAGGATCTCCCTCAAGGGCATTAGTGAATTCACCAGGTTTATGAGAGAAATTGGTGTGAAAAGGACAACAGGGCGTGCACAGGGGTAGAAGCACAAGTGCGGTGTTGCTTTAGTGCAAGGGTAGTGCACTGCAAGTTGTTTTTTCTTTCTTCTCTTACGGTTCAGCAGAGTTTGCCCATGCTTCGTTTTGTTTTCTTCTGAAGTTCCATGTTTTGCTAGTAGCTGCACTGTACATGAGAAGAATCTATTCTCTGACCCTTTGAAACTTAACTCGAGTTTCACTTTCCACCAAAGAGAGTGTGACTTGTCAAACTATAATGCCTCTTATGTTGTGTAGGCTGTAGTGGGGTAGTCTATATGGGGTACAACCCAATTAGGGTTATACTTGTACACAGTTTGATGTCAATGCAATCATTCCTGCTCGTTAGTTTCTGACATGGTTTCAGAGCAGTAGGTCCGTAGGACCTTTTTTTTTTTCGAGCCCATCATTACCTAGTGACTGACTGCAGTTACCGCGTTACCCCACGCCCTGCCCTGCGCTGCGCCGTCAGCGCGCACCCTGCCCTGCCCTGCCTTGCGTCGCGCTGCCCCGCACACGCCCTGCCCTGCCTTGCGTCGCGCTGCCCCGCGCACGCCCTGCCCTGCCTTGCGTCGCGCTGCCCCGTGCACGCCCTGCCCTGCCCCGCGTCGCGCTGCCCCGCGCACGCCCTGCCCTGCTGCCCTGTGCGTCACGCCCTACTGCAGCCCGCACGTCGCGCCCTGCTGCCCTGCGCGTTGCGCCCTACAGCAGCCCGCGCGTCGCGCTCCGCTGCCCTGCGCGTCCCGCCCTACTGCGGCCCGCACGGCGCGCCCTGCTGTCCTGCGCGTCACGCCCTACGGCAGCCCGCGCGTCGCACTCTGCTGCCCCGCGCGTCGCGCGCTGCTGCCCCGCACGTCGCGCCCTACGGCAGCCCGCGCGTCGCGCTCTGCAGCCCCGCACGTTGCGCTTTGCTGCAGCCCGCGCGTCGCGCCCTGCTGCAGCCCGCGCGTCGCGCCTTGCTGCCCCGCGCGTCGCGCCCTGCTGCAGCCCGCGCGTCGCGCTCTGCTGCCCGGGCGGCCAAGGCCGAGCCGCGCCGCCCAGCCCGAGCCGCCCTGCCCAACCCAATCCGCCCTACTACTCATGCTACTGCTGCTACTGGTGGAGGTGCCGCTAGGAGTGCTGGAGGTGCTGCAGCCTAGCCTCACCGAGCCGCTCTGCTGCCCTTACTGCTACTGCTGCTACTTGTGCTACTGCCTTCCCTCTGTACTGCTCTACTGGTCGCACGCCTCCTTGCTTGCCCGCTATGACTTCACTTCGTAGTAGCGGTGGGAGTGGTGACGGCGGTGGTGGCAGAAATGGGAGTGGTGGCGGCCGTGGTACCAGTCACTGTGGAGTGGTTCGGTAGGGAGTTTCTGGCGGTGGCCAGATGCAGCTGCAGCGGCGTCCGCGTGAGGCCCTTACGCCCCAGCAGCTTCGTGAGTGGTACGCAAGTAGGTGTGGTGGCGGCGGCCGTAGTAGCAGTCGCGGTGGAGCTGTTCAGTGCGGAGTTTCTGGCGGTGGCCAGATGCAGCTGCAGCGGCGTCCGTGTGAGATCCTTACGCCCCAGCAGCTTCGTGAGTGGTACGCTCAGAGTGGGGGGACTTGGAGTACTGTCCGCTGCCCGTACGTCATTCACACAGGTGATCGGGCTGGTCCGACTTGCGGGACTCTTGGTCACACACAGGCTCGCTGCTTCGCATGTCTGAGCGACGCCTGGCGTGCAGTGTTTGGTGACGAGGCTGAGCTCCCCCGCTAGCTAGAGCTGCTTAGGAATAAGGTGGATATCTTTGCTCTAGACTATGACACTATCCTCACTACCATGTATGCTTTGACTCTTAGTACTCAGGGTGACTGTTACCTGTGTGTGCCGTCCGACCCTGGTATAGCGGCTACTGCTTTAGGTGCTGGTGAGCCTGCTCTAGGTGCTGGTGAGTCTGCTCTCTCTGTTACTGCGCCTACTGAGGCCTTGCACACCTTCACGCTTAACTCAGGTGCTTCCCGCTGCTTCTTTCGCGATAGCACCATAGTCACACCACTCGCAGCACCGGTTGTAGTCTCTCTGGCTGACCCCTCTGGGAAACCGGTTCTTGCACGTTCTTCCACTGTTCTCTACGAGCTTGGTGAGTAACGCCGTCCTTCGGGATGCTTGGGTTGATACCTTTACCCCTGGAGGACAGCGTGTGTCGATCTGCACGTGTGCACGGACGGGCCGTCACCTGGCCACGTTCACCCGTCGGCCTGGGTCGAGCCTATACACACTGACTACTGCGCCTCCTCAGGTAGCTGCATCTGCGTCTGCGTCCGCGTCCGATCAGCTAGCAGCCTCCTGCTCGTGTCACGCCCTGTCGCACCAGACTCTCTTTTGGCACCATCGCCTTGGTCACCCCTCTCTGCCACGCCTCCGTGGCATGCACTCTCGCCTTCTTGTCTCTGATCTTCCCAGGTCTCTGCCTCCCCTCCCACCCTCGCCTACCCCTCCCTGCTTTCCCTGTGTCGAGGGGCGGCAGCGCGCCGCTCCTCACTCCTCCTCGTTTCCCCCGACGACTGCTCCACTGCAGACTCTCCACTTGGACGTGTGGGGCCCAGCCCGCGTCCAGGGACAGGGCCGCAAGCGACTACTTGCGTTACACCACGGTCTTCCCCTTGTGCAGCAAGGGTGATGTCCTGATGTCTTGATCCCTTGGATCCGCGCTGTCCGTCTCCAGCTCCGCGAGTGGTTCGACACGGACCTTCCTGTCCTGCGTCTGCACTCTGACAGAGGTGGTGAGTTTTCCTCCGACCTCTTGCGGGACTTTTGTCGTGGGGAGGGCATCACCCAGTCGTTCACGCTTCCGGCCTCTCCGCAGCAGAATGGGGTTGCTGAGCGCCGCATTGGCCTAGTCATGGAGGTCGCTCGTACCTCCATGATCCATGCGGCTGCCCCCCATTTTCTGTGGCCATTTGCGGTCCGGTACGCTGCGCATCAGCTCAACCTCTGGCCCTGTGTCTCCTTGCCGGAGACCCCGCCCACACTACGTTGGACGGGAGAGGTTGGCGATGCGTCAATATTCCGGGTCTGGGATCTTGTGCCTTTGTTCGCGATACCTCCGCGGACAAGCTGTCCGTCCGCGCCGTTCCCTGTGTCTTCTTTGGCTTTCCCCCTGACGCGCCTAGCTGGCAGTTTTACCACCCCACCTCGCGCCGTGATCTGTCCTCTCAGGACGTCACATTTGACGAATCGGTTCCCTTTTACCGTCTCTTCCCCTACCGCACTGCCCCTCCCCCTCCCCCGCCGCTCTTCCTTGCTCCAGGTCCCCCTCCGGTAGACCCCCTCCCCCCTCAGGGTCCTGCTCCTTCAGGTGTGTCTCAGGTAGACCCACTCCCCTTGGTTGAGCCTGTCGAGGTCACTGGTGACTTTGGTGCTGCTGGGGGTGCTGAGCCTGCGGGTGCTGAGCCTGAGTGTGCGGAGCCTGGGGGTGCTGAGCCTGTGCGTAAGGAGCCTGGGGGTGCTGAGCCCGCGGTTGCGGAGCCTGAGCGTGAGGAGCCTGGAGGTGCTGAGCCTGCGACTGCGGAGCCCGGGGGTGCTGCGTCTGAGCATGCGGAGCCTGGGGGGTGCTGAGCCTGAGCGTGCGGAGCCTGGGGGTGCTGAGCCTTGGGGTCCTGCATCTACACTACGGGAGCCTCTCTCACCACAGCAATTGCGCGAGTGGTATGCTCGGCGCTGTAGCCTTAGGAGTGGCGTTGCTGGAGCTGGAGGCCCTGGAGCTGCTGGTCCTGAAGGTGCTGGAGGTACTGCTGGTACAAGAGGTACTGGAGGTGGTGGAGTTACTAGTCCTGGAGGTCCCACTGGTGCCTCGCCTCAGCGGTCTAGCCAGCGGGAGCCTCTCTTACCACAGCAGTTGCGCGAGTGGTACGCTCGGCGCTGTAGCCTTCAGAGTGGCGCTGCTGAAGCTGGAGGCCCTGGAGCTACTAGTGCTGGAGGTACTGGTGGTGCTGGCACTGCTGGTCCCGGGGGTGCTCATGCTGGTGGCGCTGGAGCTGCCGGAGCTGGTGGTGCTGCTAGTGCTGGAGGTGCTAGAGGTAGTGGATTTTCAGGAGCTACTGGAGCTGGTGGTGGTGCAACTGCTGCTCGAGGTGCTGGAGCTGCTATTCCTGGAGGTACTTTTACTGGAGGTACTAGAGCTGCTAGAGCTGGTGGTGCTGCAGCTGCTGCTGGAGGTGCTGGAGCTGCTGGTCCCGGAGGTGCTCATACTGGAGGTACTGGAGCTGCTGGAGCTGGTGGTGCTGTCGGTATTGGTGGTGCTGGTGGAGCTGGCACTGCTAGTCCTGGAGGTGCTCGTCCTGGAGGTTCTGGAGGTGCTCTTTCGCAGTAGCAGCTACGCGAGTGGTACACTCAGCACTGCCGCCTTCGGAGTGGCGCTGATGGGGCTGGAGGTGCTGCGGCTGGAGGCGCAGGAGCTGGAGGTAATGGAGCGGCCGGAGCTGGTGGTGCTGCGGACTCTGGTGGAGTTGGAGGCTTTGGGCTTGTAGGCGCTGGAGCTGGTGACCCGGGAGCTGGGGGTGCTGGAGCTGGAGTTTCTGGAGCTGCTGGAGACCCTGGAGCTGCTGGTATTAGTACTGGAGGTGCTGGTGCTGGAGGAGCTGGTACTGGTGGTGCTGCACCGCCGCGTCTGTTCTTGGCTCCGCCGTTACCGTCGTCTCTGCCGCCGCCTGGCTCGGTGCTTCGCCACGTTCTTAGTCTCCCGTCTTCTACTGGTCTCCCGTTACAGCCAGGCTCCCCACTGCCTGCTCCCTCTCCTTACACTGAGCAGACAGGAGGTCTTACTGAGCGCCGTGAGCCTGCGTCTCGTCCTGCCTCGCCTGTTCGCACTGGTCGCACTAGTCCTCGTGTTCCTCGTGAGCGTCCTCCTCCTGTCCCTGGCACGCACACTATGACACTTCGTCCTTCCTCTGTTCCACAGCGTGTTCCTCTGCCGTCTCCTTC